AATGCTTTCTTCGCCATCAATAAATTGATGGTATGCTTCCGAATGGTTTCAGCATAATAAATTTTTTTCTCTCGGATATTTCTCCCCATTTTTGCTACTTGCGTCTTTCTCGCCCCCCATCGAAACTCTTTCCAACCTCCTGTATTGCATTTGCTAAAGGTTGGAGGATACCCTAAGTTAGGGGAAAACCTGACCAGATAAAGTCGTCCCTTCCGTTACTCGTTATTGCGAGTATTTTTTCTAACGTCAAACTGGTATGTATGCACGCATGAATAAATTCAATAGAAAACCTAGCGAATTCGCTAGAAAATTATATAGGAATTCTATGGTATTTCTATAGGATTTCTATTGGAATTCTATTGAAAAGTTCTATTTGTTTTTTACGCTGATTCTATTGGATATTCAATAACAAAAAGTCAATAGATTTCAAATTTCTATTTAAATTTTTCTGTTAGATTTTTTCCATCAGAATTATTGGGCACAAATTTTGTAAGTTTTTTCCACTGGATTTTGTTTTGTTTTGCATTGCAGAATCCGAGTGGAAAAAACTTAGAAAATTGATGCCCAAGCATTCTTATAGAAAAAATCTCAAAAGAAAAATTCAAACAGAAATTCGAAATCTATTGACTTTCTTTATTCAGTATCCAATAGCATCAGCGCAAAAAACAAATAGAATTGTTCAATAGAATTCCAATAGAAATTCTATAGAAACCCCATAGTATTCCTATAGAATTCTAATAAAATTTTCTAGCGAATTCGCAGGTTTTCTATTGGATTTTTTCATTCGTGAGAAAGCATTGGAACATCACTCAGTGACATGTTCACCATTATATGCTCACTGACATATTATATGCTCGCTGCCCCCTGTTTGTTTTGATGATTTGAAAGTGTAACATTCATTTGGAATAAAAGAACGTGAGTGGGATTTACGCTTGTTTAATCGAAAATGATTGGATATACGTTGCTCTGTTAAAAAAAAAATTGAAAATAATTATTTCGATGAGATTTTTAATACCGAGCACAAATAGCGCATTTTTTGGAGATACATCATTTACCTCTGGCAATGGCCGTTTTTGGTAGTTATGGGACTGTTATTAAGCTGTCGATATGTTAATTCATAATTAAATAATTTTGGAACGGTTTGTGGGAGATACGTTTATTTGTTACACCTACAGGTCATAACAACGTATCTCACAAGTGCGTACATTTTCCATTTTTTTGATGATTTGAAAGTTTAACATCTATTTGGAACAAACGAACGTGAATGGGACTTACGGTTGTTTGAACGAAAATGATTGAAGATATATTGCTCTGATCAAAAAACAATGAAAATGATTATTTCGATGATTTTTCCAATACTGAGCATAAATAGCGCATTTTTTGGAAATACGTCACTTTACTTCTGGAAATGATGGTTTTTTGTAGTTACATGACTCTGTTACTAAGCTGTCGATATGGACAGAAAACAATAACTCTTTGATTTTCATCTCGAGTAATGAATGATTATTCAATTATTGAAAAACATGAACTCAGAAACAAAATCAATGATTTAACGGAATTTCTTATTCATGTACTCTTGATACGAAGAGAGCTCTTCAGGGCTTTGAGCTCGAAGTTTTTTGCCTTGTGCATAAAATGCACGATCCAGTCAATAGCGCCACGATTCACTTAATTTTAACCGAGGTCTAACCGTGGTTTCCTAATCCAAAAACTGGCCCTCAGCACTAAAGCGCGAATTGTTCGTGAACGCGCGCAACCGCGCGCGTTATAGATCTGAGAATATTATTATAGGAGTGTGAGAATATTATGGGAGAGAAGAAATATCGATGTGTATTTTAATGAATAAAGAAGAGAAAATTGTGTTAAAATTAAGAATTGAAGTGTGTTAAAATTAAGAGGTTTTTATTATTAATACTGCAGTGCCATTTCGTTTTCTTCCTGGTGGATTATTATTAATAACTGCAGTGAATAACTGCAGTGACATTTCGTTGTCTTCCTGGTGGAAATGATGTAAGTAGATTTCTTTCAATATAAATCCTTCGACGTAATAAAAAAGTATAGTAAAAAAAGAAATAATCTTAAAGTTATCGAGTTTTATACGTGTTTACATACATCCGTTAGCTTGTTAGTTTTTCAGTTGGAAAAAAAAGTCGGTAGTCGTGAACTACGTAAAGAGAAGAGAAAAGAAAGGGGAAAAAAATAACTCGTGAATCGTAGAGTAGAATTGCCTCCTTTATTAAACGTTCAAATATTTCTCCAATTCTCCAACATCAAAACGAGATTCATTTATATCGTATCACTTGGTTAGACGATATTTTTGACAATTAAACATGATTTGCTTGATTTCATTTTCTACAGCTTTTTTTTCCCTATGAGAAAGAGAAGGACAGAGATGAAAATTAGCTGCAATTGATGTTGTTAGAGATCAATTGTTCTTAAATATTGGAAAAATATTTTTCCATTGAATAAAACATATTCTCATGTGATTTTTATTCTTCTCCTTTTTTCAGACCTGGTTTGAAGCAAATACGTGACGGAGGTTTCGAGTTTATCTTGTTATCAACACACCGGAGAGTTTTCCTTTGCTGGCGGAATAATCAATTTGTATCGATGAATGTGGTGATTTATTGAAGAAATTGATGATATTGATGGGATAATTATGATGATGATGTTGATGTTGATGATGTTGATGATAATAATAATGACGATGGTGATGATTTGTCGATGAGGAAGATAACTTTGATTTTTGATTTTATGAATTGTTTATGATTTGATGATATACTAATTGATAAAATGAATGATAAATTGGAAATGATGGAAATATTATGATGTATGCCCATGAAAGTTTTATTTGAGTGAGATCAAGTTACAGAGATTTTAATTGGTTTTGAATGTACGAGAATTTGAATTGAATTTGAATTTGTACGAGACAAATCTACTGAATCGAGACAAATCTACTCAATCGAGTTACTTGAGAGTGCAGCTGACTTCCGATGATAGCATGAAATTTCCAGATTTGAAAATTCGAATGCATCATATGACCTGTCATATGATGGTCATGTCATCCTCTTCTTGGGGTTCGGATTTTTTTTTCTAAATTTTAATTCTTTTTGAAATTTTATATTTTATGGTAAACGAACATAGCTTCTTAATGTTTTTCTATCGTATTTGTAATCAGACCGATTCTCAGCGCTAAAGCGCTGATTGTTCGTAAACGCGCGCAACCGCGCGCGTTATGG